GCTGAGAGACAAAGTACCAGAAGCGAGACTTGGCTACGATGTGGTTCGGGGCGAAGATCCTCATCCGGTAGAGAGGGGGGGCGGGGTTCTTAGCCGAGGGCAGCAGACGCCCAATGACCTTATACTCCCTAAGCTGTGGGAAGAAAATGAAGATGCGTCACATGTAGGTAAAATGATCAAAACAACAACAGTGAGACAACAATAGGACATGTTGATCCCTGAATTCACTTTCAGAGGCACGACAGCAGCAGAGAAAGGCGACAAGGACCAAGTTCCTGTTCGCACGCCAGACAAAATCACGCCACGAAAACGGCGTGACCTTTGGGTTTGGGTGCGTACGGAGACATCACAAATGACACACAAGCTACAAATAACATTGCTCACTTAAACATCACCAAAAACAAACTAATAATAAAATAACACAGTTTCATTTTCTTACCGCAAACACTCAAACATGATTAAATTATCATTAAACTGATGGATCTGAGGTGTGTGTAGTGGCATTTTGGCTAAAAAACAAAAACAAAACTTTAAAATGACTTCAGTTTTATTGATATCTTAAAGCTTTTTTGAACAATTATATTTTAAACTACAAATAACACAATCCTCTAAAAATGTGTGTTTTTCTATTAAAAACAAGAATCCATAACTGTTTCCTTTTATCTTATACTTCCTCGGGGTTAGGTTGGGGTTTTTTTGTTGTCATCATTAGCCGAAATCTTTCTTAGCATTTCCTATTTCTATCACCACCACAGGTGTGCACACACCTGCCACTGAATTACTGAGTATCTGGAGAAAACCTTAAATTGCGCTTTTTTAAAAAGAGGTTCTGCAGCCGCTCCATTCAGTGCTTTCTATACGGATTAAAGGCAGTTCGTTGAGTCCGTGTTTCAGTTTGTGCTGCCAAGCCTTTGTGTCTGTTTCTGAACACTTTATATCAACTCCAGTTCTGGCCTACAGTGGAGAATAACTGCTGTGAGCTGGAGGAGTTTTTACGGTACTCATTCACTGCCCGCACTCGCTTTGAAAAAGCAGCGACTCTACAAAAAAACAGTTTAAGACTTTAAATAAAAAAAAAGCTCTATAAAGTCCAGATATTTATAAAACAATGATTAAAAACTACAGTTCCTACTAAAAAACCGGCTCACTATGCCTGGTTAAAAAGCACGCCGATAGCTCGGGTCAGAGATGAACTCACATTAGCTGCTAACGTTAGCTTCTACTAGCGCAAATCAAGCTGCGCTGAAATTAAATCAGATTAAATATGATCAGTGCTACTGCTGGACCGCTGTCCACACCTCAAGCCGAGCTCATTTTCTCAGTGAAGGCATGAGAGCTCGCACTCTCTCCGACTGCAGCCCTCAGTATGAGCCCAGTCCACATGGTGCTGACGCCATGTTGTAGACGCGAACGCACCGGGGTGAAAAGACTCAAATTGCCGCTTTAAGTCGCACTTTATGGAAATAGCTCTGCACGAGCCCCTCAAACTAGACGTTATTTTATTAAATGTGCTGTTAGAAGCCGCGAGTGAAGAGTGAAAAAGTGTAAATTTAGGGTTTACGTACTGTGCCGGACGCCTTCATGGTGCCTCTCGCTCACTGCCACAGTAAAAGAGGAAGCAGCAGGGCGGAGCATGCGCACGTCAAATGGAGGGCGGAAGTTCCATAGAGGTGCCGTCCGAGTTGAGTTCCCCCCAGAAACCGAAGAAGATAAGTTATTGACCCATAATCTGTCAAACATCTGTCAAACAATCTGTGTCAGCGATGGTATGACTTCATTCTGAGGCTAAAATCTGTTTTTAATGAATATCTGACCGAGAGAGTCAAATACAACTCAGCAGCCCCGAGAGGAGGGTTAAATAGCAGGAAGCTCTGGACTGATTATAATACAAGTGATTTCTTTATTTGAAATATATCCTCTTTATAATCCTGCAGCGTTTTACCAGAATAATCATGAACACTGGACATCAAACACACAGATGTATGTTTACATATATCTGTCTATATCTTAAATAGAAAGATATAGTGCTTATCCCTATATCCTTATAAGAAAGATCAGGCTTCCTGCTGTTTAATGAACAGCAGGACGAGTCTTCAGTCAGCACATCAAAGCACGGAGGAGAAAACAGGCTCGTGGTTCAATCCCCGTTTAGAAATACTGTTTTAAGACCACAAAAATGTTACAAAATAAAGAGTTTGACCAAGATGGTTTTTCCACTGCAAGCAGGTGGAGCTGAAGAAAGAGGGCTCCACACTGATATGATCAATATGAGAGTCAATCACTCTTGATTATTGATTTATTATGTCACGCTCTGATTGGATGCCTGAGTGTGGGAGAATCAGCTGTCAGCTGTGTCCTGTCATGTGCTGTCTGAGGGAGCACATCTGTTCCACATGCTCCTTCAGATGTTTACCTTCTGTAAAGCTGTGATCTGAACTCTCAAATTCAAAGTAAAGTGTGCACTCTTTCTTCCTGTGGCATGATTATTGTCATCACACGGTTACAGGTGTTCACATACTCATGGAATCTTTAACCTTGTATAATTAAAAGAAGAAGAAGAAGAAAAAAAACAAGAAGAAGAATGTATTATCTTGGTAAATGTATTCTTTAGTGTCTGTTGACTTCATAAGAAACAGATCTAGTAATCATGGTCTATGTGCTTGCCTATAAAAGTTCATCTTTCCCATACTGAACCCATCTCGTGACTTTCATTAAAGAAAACAAACTAGATGTTAAATCTGTGACCTCAGGAACAACACAAAGGGCCTACTGTGTTTTCTGTCCTGTTATTGTCACCTTTTAGCCTTTTGTATGCCTGATTTAAAATAAATAAAGCGGTCTTGATTCAACATCTCCATGTCAATGAATCTACTGATCTAATGACGCAAAGGCTGTGTAAGACAGAGAAAATGACAGTTCCAGCTGAACTTTAACTTTTAACCTCAGAATTAAATCCAGCCAAAATTCAGTCTGAAGCTTCTCTGCAGTCTGACAGCTTCACTGAAAAAATACATAAATAAATAAAATTAAAAAATCAAGAAAAGATTGCACAAACAGAGGAATTAAAATGCTAATGAAATGTTCAAAATTAGAGTTAGGGTTCACTTGTTGGATCACTTGTTTTTCTCAGTCCACTCCTTTTGAATTGATGCGTGGAGCTGGCTACAGCCGAGGGGAATTCAGTTACCACATTTGACGGTAACTGTAATTAAACTTGGGATGCTTGCTGAGAACCCAATTTAGACTTCGTGATTAGGACTGTCTTGTTACTGGGAAACATTTTTATTCACAAATGCAGACAT